GAAAGAGACCCACCAGCTGTTGCACCCAAGAGATGTGTTGGTGTGGTGGGAGCTGAGTCTCAGGTATGGGAACACCACATGATTTGTGCAGAGACTTAGAGAAAAAAAATAAAATCCCAAAAACCCAAAAAACCCCTTAACTTTTAAAACTGGAAGCATATACAGTTCTCCAGGCTGGGGTCACACGAAGGACATCCAAAGCCTACACAAAGGCTTAAGGAATTACTTGGCAGTGTGCACGGCTCAGAAGATTAGTAATGATTTACAAGACCTTTCACCTTCGAGGCCTAGATCCTGCAAGCTCTCGTGTAGAGAAATGCCTGGACTCCATGCAAGCAAACTCTTCCCCTACAGCAGTATCTGAAGGTGTCATCTGGGGTCTCCTCAGGTGCCAAGAGGAAGCCCACCCCTAAAGCCACAGAGGTACAGGCTGGGGGATGCAGGCTACAGCCAAGGGCTATAGGCAAGATCCACAGCACCTAATGCCTCTTGCAAATAAAAACAAACAAAAAAACCCCCAACAACCTTCTAACCCAGCATGAAGGGTATCCAGGCCCTGAGATCATCCCTGTATCCTAAGGCTGCACATCCCTCACAGCTGGAAAATTTCCCTCAGCACCAACCTAACCCACGTTTGCTGTGAGTTCAGCTGTTCCTTCAGTCACTGCCACCGAGAACAACTGACTCCAGGGTCATTTTATAACAGCCTTTCACATATCTTATAATTTTTATGCTACACTCAACCCTCTCCTCACTAGACTAAACACACACAGCTTTTCCAACCTGTCCTGTAGGCCACCTTTTCCCAGTTTCTCGGGGCATTTCTTTGCAGAAGACACAGGGATAGTGGAACCACCAGCTTATTTCCCTTGTACCTCTACAGGAGAAACAACCCAGCAGCATTTTGGTGTCTGTGAATCGGGAAAGCCCAGCAGCAACTGGGCAGGAATTCAACTGGCTTGTACAGAACAGCTCAAACAGAAACGTGATAGATGTATTTTTCTTACTACTTGCTCACAGCCTTGCCAGCTCCAACGGCAAGCGAGTCTCCCACCCTTCTGAGCTTGCAAACAGAGGCAAGGAACCACGTCCTTGTGAGGACAGGAACTCAGCTGGGCTTGTAGTGAGAAGGAAATACAAAGAGGGGACATTTGCAGGACAGGTTGGTTTGTAGCTATGGGGTGTACATGTCTTCAGGCCCTACAGCTGATAACTGATGGCAAATAGTTCCACCTCCAGGCTTTTCCTACTCCATTCCCTTCTCACCTCTTGCCTGAAAGCTTTTCGAAAGCCACTGTGGCTGCTGGGAGCAAAGGCACGTCCAGGGACACAGCTGACTACTGCTGGCATCCCGTTCTCACACGTCGCGTTCTTCTCTGCATCCACGTTGAGGTGATTGCCCAGTTTGCAGCTGGAGATATGAGCTTCATTCCCATTGCAGTCCATTGAGTAAGCCCAGTAATGCTGCTTCCTTCTGCTGGCAAACATCCTTAAAGGAATAAAAGAGAACAAGAAAACAAAAGAGTTTAGGAAGCCATAAAAACTGCACTGATGTAGCTACATTTGGGGAAAATAAAAAATCCTTGAAATAAAGTGAGGCTTGAAGAGCATTATTTGAAGGCTGATCTATTCATGCACACAATGACTCTCTGTTCAGGTGTCACTTGGGAGTAAATAGGTCATCTGCTTAAGCTAAAGATGAGAGTGTGAATCAACAGTGCAGCTAGAGAAACAATTCTGCACTCAAAAGAGAGACGGAATAGAGATCTCCACATTATGCAGGGGTCAGAGATCAGTTAATACCTGCAGTGTTGTGTCCAGTTCTGGAGCCCCCAACACAAGAAAGACATGGACCAGTTAGAACAAGTCCAGAGGAGGCCACCAGGATGATCTGAGGGCTGGAGCAGCTCTGCTGTGAGGACAGGCTGAGAGAGTTGGGGCTGTTCAGCCTGGAGAAGAGAAGGCTCCAGGGAGATCTTATAGTGGCCTCCCAGTACCTGAAGGGGCTACAAGAAAGCTGGGGAGGGACTTTTCATAAGGGCAGTTAATGACAAAACAAGGGGAAATGGGTTTAAACTGAAAGAGGGGAGGTTTAGATGAGATATTAGGAAGAAATTCTTCACTGTGAGGGTGGTCAGACACTGGAACAGGTTGCCCAAGGAAGTTGTAGATGCCCCCTCCCTGGAAGTGTTCTCGGCCAGGTTGGATGAGGCTTTGAGCAACCTGGTCTAGTGGAAGGTGTCCCTGCTGCTGGCAGGGGGGTTGGAACTGGATGATCTTTGAGGTCCCTTCCAACCCAAACCAGTCCATGATTCTAATTCAAAAAGCAGTGTACAAACAGGGTCTGTGCAAATAACCCTCATGAATTTGGACCGGAATGGCCCCCAGAAGACCTCTCCCATAAATAAGCTGTTCTGTTTGCTGGCCATCACCTATCAGCTGTGAGAAGACAGCAGACTGGGAAAAAGCCACAGCTCTCCAGCTTCTCTCAAAGCTGCAGCGTTAACAACCGTGAGCCTGAAAGCAATTTCCGAGAGCAAGAGCAATTCCCTTGATGACAAGTTCACAGCAGAGGAGGTTGGCAGCAGTTTCTGCTTCTTGCTCCCAAACTGTAGTACTTGCCTGGAGCTGCTCCAGGGACTCCTAAGGGGGAAGGGGCATGTGAGATAAATGAGAAAAGAAAGTAATTCAGCTTCATCCTCACTGCATTGTAGGGCTGTCAAACAACTATATCGGAATTAAAATAGTCAATGAAACAGAAATCTGGGTCAGATCATTACCAAAAAGGAAATATTAGAAGTTAAAAATAAAAATAATAATAAAATAAATGAAGGCACAGAGGAGCCAACGCCCTGCTGTGATCTTGACGTGGCTTTGTGAGATCCCTGTGCTGCTCCATATTCCAGGAGGAGCTGCCATGCAGCCCTGGGATCCAAGGATCAGCTGTGACAAACAGCACAGCAATGCAGGGGGAGCTCGGGGGGAGAGAGAGCACCAGTTCTGATTAACTGTGGCACATCCCTGCAGGACAGAGAGCTTGAGCAGGATCTGGGAGAAGAACACAGAGCCTTTTATAGGTTGTTGGTTTGAAACTAAACTGGACAGGTTAAGATTTTCTCAGCTGATGCCCTTTGGTGGTCCCATGTGGGCTGATTTACAGCATCTCAGATACTTGAGAGGACTATCTTCTCCACCTTCCCTTGCTAAGCTTTGCTGACAAGCTCAGCAGTTATCTAGGCTCATATGGCTCATGGCCACTGATTAATCCTTTTTGGAACTAAATTTCTCTGTGTTGAGGTTAGGGCCAGGAGACAGAGATGTAATTGTGTCACATGATGGAGAGTAAACACTGTGCTGGAAAGGATGGAGGATGAGGCAGGGCTGAGGTCTATACCATGGAGCAGGAACAGGCAACCTGTCTGTCCTATGGGTAAAACATTGGCTATCAACCTCCAAGGCTGTCAAGCCAGAGCTCTCAGGGATCCCAAATCAACAGAAAATGAATGGGAATAGGAAGTGGGGGAAAAAAATTTAAAATAAAAAAGTAAAACCAGGGAGGACACAGGCAGAAAGGAAGTGCCAGCCACTTCTCAGCTAAAATATCTGGTTCAATCTGGACCAAATCTGGAAGGTTTTTCTTCCTTTTAATTAAACTACTACAAAAAGCCATGAAATCCTCTGCCCTTGGACTGCTGGAGCTCAGCATCGAGGTCCCACTTGAACATTAACTGCTCTCTGCAGAACAGTGGGGCAGATTCAGGCACATGTTACACACTGGAAAGCATCTGGAGATGCCTGCCTTCAGTGACACCACTCCATGCTCTCCTAGCATGAGCCAGCTCTGTTCCACTACCCTTTCAGTCCACGTGCTCAGTACGGAAAGGAGAACCTGGAGGAGTATTTGCACTGAGGACCCTCCACAGACACGTGCAGAGAGCTCCGTGAACTCCAAAGCAGACAAGAAACACAGCCCGTCTTCGAGAAGTAATTACAGGGATGCCTTATAATAGCAAACAATGACCTCATCCTGGAAATTTCATGAGGCATTAACATCTGGTTGGTATTAACAGCCCTTGGTAGGCTGGGGAGAAATAGCGAGAGAAAGCTCCACCTCATTTCCCCAGACCAAATATGTAGAAAAAAAAAAATAATCACAGAATCACAGAATTGCCTGGGTTGGAAAAGACCTTTAAGATCATCAAGTCCAACCATGAACCCAACACTGACCAGTCCCCTATGACTAACCCATGTCCCTCAGCACTGTGTCTACACGACTCTTCAGTCCCTCCAGGGATGGGGACTCCACCACTGCCCTGGGCAACCCCTTCCAATGCCTCAGAACCCTTTCAGCAAAGAAATTCTTCCTCACATCCAATCTAAGAGAAGTAAAATACAGATTATCTTTACAGATAGAAACTCAGGGCTTTCCTCTTACTTACTTTTTAATGTAGAAAGGATGCAAGCCACCTCTCACTGGCTTTGGTATAAGCCAAAAGCAAAGCTGCTCAGATCAGAGGTGTGAGTGAACAGTCATGCTGTGAGAGTTTAGTCAATTCTAGGTCAAGCTGGAGCTCAAACCATCTACCTTCATCCCATAAACTTTAAACAAAGACACAGGTTAAGCCCAAGGGCTGTGGGAAGGAGCTGAGAGTTTAGCTGAAGGAACCATGCACCTGAGAGGACTCAGGGAGCAGAAATCAAATCATTACACACATACACGCTGGGAAAATCCACCCATAACACACTGAACAGAAGCTGATGAACTCTCTATGCTCAACAAATTCTTCAAGCATTAACTGGAGTTAATAAGTTTGCTGTCTTCAGCCTCAGGGAGACAGAAGAGAATCCAGACCTGCCACCTACTACCAAAGCCCTTAAGATCATGGCTTTGCAAGGAAGAACCCAACCCATGATGATTTCTATTACAAATATAGAATTGATTAATTGTCCTACACATCTGACCAGTTTAATAATTTTATGAGCAGGCTGTTTAAACTGGGAGATGCTGTTTGGACTGAATTGAACAAAGTATCCTGGAACTGCTGAGCTCCTTCATCCAATTCTTTGAGCAATCACAAAGCTGTAAGGTCTCCAGAAGGCAACAGGTCCATCTCTCTGCCTTAGGCATCCCTGGTCACAAACTTCTACTCTCCTCATTAGTAAAACACATTCAGTTCTACTCTGCTTTCTCAACCAGAGCAGGACTTGGGAGGAGGAGTTAAGAAGCAGTGCCTATATAAAATCACTTTGAAGAATGAACAAGAACATGGAAACAACACTGAGATTTGTTTCGTTTCCTAACATAAATCGTGCTGTCAAGTTACATTCAGGAAAAAAAACCTGGCACCAGGACAACAATGAACTAAGTTGTTTTCTTTCAAGCATGATCCATCTGCAAATCATTTCACCTCCCACCATTGTGCAGAAGCAGAGCAGAGTATCAGCTGGCTCAGCAGGCAAAGCTGTAGTTTGTGGGGAGTGGGATTGGTGGAGATGTGGGAAGGGGCACTCAGAGCCCTGGTCAGCAGAAACCCAATTCCAGCCCATGTCCCAGCTGTGGAACAGGAGCAGGAAAGGATCTGCTCTTGGGAGAATGGTATTTACAAATTAGGGAGGGCAAAGCTCAAGAAAAGAGAAAAATGTTCCTGAGGCTTCACACTCACATGGGAAGAGGGTTTAGCTCCAGTGACCAGCCAGAGATGAACTCTTCCCTCTCCAAGACCAGAAAGTGTGTGGGACAAAGCAGAGAGCAATGCTCTCACGGCTCAGGTGAGCAGGTTACAGTGGTTGTCACTCCAGTACCTTGCTGGTGAAGCAAAGATCACTTGTGAAGTTCCCAGCCCAGAACTGGGAGGTTTCCCTCACCAGTAAAGTCACCAGCAACACTGGTTGTACACAGAGCATCTGCCAGTAACACAAAAACCAAAGGCAAGTGCCCCAAAACCAAACCAAGCTTTTAAAGCTATTCTAACCAAACCAAACTGTCCAGCTGACAAAGTCTTACAAATCTCTTCCCTCCAATAAAATGACATCTCATCTTCTTCCAACCTGGGATAACATTCAGCAGATTTTCCAAATTATCTGTCTGTGGGTGCAGGAGCCCAGCAAAGCTGTTACCTCTTGCTGAAAACAAGCAAAGGTGTGGGAGTTATTAGGGCACTGAAGCTATTTCAGCAACCTGTCTGGCTTGGCAGCAGAGACCTCCAAGCCTGGTATTTGTAAGAGCTGCATATTCATCCCTGAATGGGATTTTCAACGTTGCTGAATATCACATTGAACAATTTTGCCTCAGTTTTTCCACCTCTACGTGCACTATTGCAAAAGACAGGACTATTACCAAGCACTCTTTTATTTAAGACAGATGGCTCCAGCTGCTAAAACTTAATGCTTTTCTTGGAAATAACACAACTGAGAAGCAGGAAAAATCTACTTTGTCTTACTAGAGGTAATTTATTCTGCCCTCCTGCTCTGATGCAGGGAGTGGGAATCACTGAGTTGAGTTTAAGGGAGACATGCTATACTGATGGGAGCAAATTCTCCTCTAACTGGTGTCCAGAGCAAAACATGAGATCTCCTGGTAGCAATTATTAATTCCCTGCTCATCTCCCTGGGAAGCCTGAAAACAAAATTCCAACTTGGGTTATTTATATGATATTCTTTGTGCTGTTATGTGGCTTTATGCTATTCCAACCCAAGGACCTCTTCAATTGATCACAATCTTGCTAATGAAAGAAATGAAACGTGGCCAACCAGTTCCAGAGGGATCTTTCAAAAATAGCAATTGCACAGGCAAAAAGGAGCAGGCAGGAAAACCACAACTCCTGCCTGGAGAATTCACTTCTCCCTCTAACCAGTCGATGCTTTCCTATTCCATAGGTCACAGTGTAGGAAAGAAACGAGACAGAATTTCACTTAAACTATTTTGCATCTGCTTTAAGGTTTGATTTCTAGGGAACAGTGTAGGAAGAAGCAAGTCTGTGATGAAGATTGGTGACAAAATGCAAGTTGAAGCAGTGACAACAAAAAAAAACCCCAGAGCTCCTGGCTTTCAAGAAACAGGAGACACAGCCTGAAGTGATCAGCCTGCAGCTCTCAAATCCACAACCTTCTCCCTAAGGATCACTATTTTCTTCCCTCATTTTAAAGCCATCTACAATCATAGGAAGTAAAAGCAGCACCAAAATCACAGCTGCCCCGAACTGCAGCCTTTCTACAAGCACCATCTCTGATGCCCAGGCAGAAGCACCGTTGGGAGCAGCAGCACGGATGGACCCTGGATATTTTTAGCTCAGCACTCAGCTCAGAGAAGCCTTTAACAGACAGAACAAGTCACACAGTTGGAGGTGGCTGGAAGCTCTTCCAGCCTGGGACCCTGAGGAATCACCTCTGCCAAAGGAGCTGAACTGGGGTTCACAACAGTGTGAGATTTACTGGGGAATATTCCCCTGGGTAGACTTCTCCTCCATGGGTGATTTAGCAGCTAGACACCCACAAACCAGGGATGGTGAACCTCAGAGAGCCAGAGCAGCTGGAAAATACATCCAGGTAAATGTGTCATGAGAAGTGTGAGACCAGAAATTACATGCAGTGGTGGGAAGGAGGAATCTGGGCAATGAAGCACAACAAAAGCCTGTTTTATCCCAAGATTACTGGGTTGGAGCTACCAGCACACACCAGATCTGATCCTACAGCTGGCTTTCTGCAGAGGGATGGGGTAAGCAGGTAGATTTTCTTGCAGCTGATGGTTTTACTGGGAGAGTATGATTGGTTTCCTCACATCCATCCATCCCCTGCACACAACACAGAACCTAAACCTATGACTGGTGAAGGAAATCCTATAAGACAGAAACAAACAAAGATTTCTTAGGCTGACAGTCCACATCTCCTACTATAGAATCATAGACTGGTGTGGATTGGAAGGGACCTTAAAGATCATCCAGTTCCAATCCCCCTGCCAGCAGCAGGGACACCTTCCACTAGACCAGGTTGCTCAAAGCCTCATCCAGCCTGGCCTTCAACACTTCCAGGGAGGAGCAGCCACAGCTTCCTTGGGCAACCTGTTCCAGTGTCTGACCACCCTGACAGTGAAGAACTTCTTCCTAATATCTCATCTAAACCTCCCCTCTTTCAGTTTAAACCCATTTCCCCTTGTTTTGTCATTAACTGCCCTTATGAAAAGTCCTTCCCCAGCTTTCTTGTAGGATCAATCAAATACTAAAACTGATACAACACGAGATCTTCAGCCAGAAAGGTGAGGATCACACAATTCCCCTGTCTGCACAAGGAAATGCTTGACATTTCAAATATTTACACAGAAGGAAAATCTGATCTGAAGGAATGAAGCAGTCAGAGGGTTTTTCTACCTCAAGAACTCCAGTGTCATTTGACAATTTGCATTTTTGAACAAGGCCCCAAGTGTTCAAAGAACCACGCTTGTGTCTCACACAAAAGCTCTGCTCTTACTTGTAGACGTTGGTGTTGTATTTCCTCTCGCTCGGAAATCCAAACATGCCACAGACAACTCGGGAATTTTTCATGGTCCAGTGCTTGTCACAGATCTGCTTCCAGATCCCTTCATCCTTCACCTCCACGTAACCCTCTGTGACAGGCACTCGCTTGCGGTAGGTGGCCAGGATGGCACGCATCCTTATATCTTCCACCTGGATGTTCATGTTCTGTAAGCATAAAGGAAACACAAATGATGCTGGTTTGCAAGGAAGCTGGTTGTGTAGAGGTTTGAGATGGGGAACACAAACCAGTTCTGCTCATGGTTACAGGTGAACAGAGGGAGGCAGAAAGGAAGAGCTATTTAGGAAAAAATACAACAGGGAAGCAACCAAACCTTTCTACCTTGTGCAAAATCATCCTCCATCCTGCAGGAGAAGATGATTTTTCTCATTAAAAAAACCCAAAACAAAACAAAAAACCCAAAACAAAACAAGATCAACCAACCAAAAAACCCCAACCAACCAAAACAACACGCATTATTTTACAAATAGCCATGTAACAAATCTCCTTTGTTCCCTAAATTAATCAAAGTACTTGTTTCAGAAGCACAATGATTTTAATTTGGTCTCAGCTACTATGGAAGCAAACAGAGCTCAGCTCTGCTGGGGCCACCTTAATGCTGGCAGGGTGCAAGGAAGTGGGAGCCCTGGCAGGGAAGGACACTGGGGCTCCCATCAAGGCACTGGGCATCCCTTCCCACCTGGCCTGGGCAGATGCTGTGAAAACTGGGATCCTGATGTGCTGACACCAGCATTTCACCATTTCCCCAAGCTGGGTTTCTCCTCCAGCTGAAGCATTACTTGGGACAGCAAATGAGTCATGAAGTTTGAATGGATTTCACATTTGGAGCTTACGTGAGGACACTGCACAAACAAACTTTGCAGGGACCCAAAGCAAAAGCTGACTGGAAAATATCCACTGTGGCAAGCAATTACAAAAGAGCTACTGCAAATTTTATAGCTTGCTTCCAGGAGACCTTTTCTTGTCAAAAAAAATCTATAAGAACACGTGGTTCTGCTAACAGTTACATCAGACCTGAGGAATCCTCCCCACCCCTCGCTCCAATTCATTCACTTGGAAAAGAAAAATGCCCAGGGCTTTAAAGAGACACAGGGCTCTGGTTACTGATCAGCAGCACACACAGGTAGTGAAGTCAGGGAGATCGCGGTAGGACACGCAGAGTCCTGGAAATTACACGTGGCTCATCCATTCTCTGAATGTTTCAGCAACACTGATGCAAGTAACAGACCCTGGGGAAATGGAAACCAACCGCAGAGAAAGAGGCTGCTGGGGCAGGGAGAGGGGCAGGCATCTCCTCCCCATCTGCATCTCTGCTACTGCTCTGCCCACATCACCTTGGGCAAGTCACTTAAAGCTTTTTTTCCCTCCCAGTATTTTCTTTTTTTTGTATGTTTACCACCCAGTTTTACAGGAAACCAGATCACTGATTCCTCCTTTCACCTTCAGGAATTCTGACCTCCAGCAACTCAGCTGGAGCATCCATGAGACATCCCCAGTGACCTTGGAAAATAGGACCTTATAATTTAACCAGTAGGATAGTGCTACTCATACAGGGTTTACAGTTTGGGCTCTAGGTTTTGAAAGCTCTTGTAGCCCTCAAGAAGAAAAAAATAACCACAAGGATATCCAAGTTTGTTACATCTGAGCTACTTTAAGGTGTTCAAAGGGTTCGATGCAAGAATAAATTGTACACCTCCTGTGTAATCTGGGAAGTCAATTTGCAATACAAAGAGTTTCTCCTGAATTTGAGATTCTTTTTGAAATATTGCACAGCTTTTGACTACGTGCTCTCAGGAAAATAGCAGAGCCTCTGTGCATTTAAGGCCTCCCCAGGCTGGTTTCCAAAGCCTGTAACTCACTTTTCCCCTGGTGCAATTTCCAGCTCTTCACTTGATGGAGAAAGCACATTTACCTGGAGCTACAGGCCAGTGCTGCCCAGCAGCAGCATCTTGTTTCTCTGCTTCCTTTACCTTCCCTTAGCAGCTTCTTCACCAGGAAACAGGCAAAGCCTTAAATCCATTTGGAAATAACTTTGACTTGCTGAAGATCTCAAAGTGTTTTTCATAAAAGCCTATTAAAAGGATTAACCTAAAGGACAGAAAGCCAAAGCTTAAAATTGCACTGGGAAAGCACATGAAAAAGATAGTAACTAAGGAGGAAATTTGCATTGACAGCTGAGAAAGTGGGTGAGACAACCTAAGTGAGTTTTTCCATCTGTGACTGCAGGATATATCCAGCCTATATAAAGCCCTAAGTATGTTTGTTACACGCAGTGATGTCAGTTATCAGCCCTAGTGCATATTTAAATAACTGAAATGGAACATTTTCCCTGACTAGACCTGACATCAGCAACATGCTAAAATCCACCCGTGGTTTTCTCTTGACAGCCACTTCGATTTTGCTTGAATTTAGACAAGCTGGAGGCTGCAGCCAGTCCCCAGCACGATGGAGAGAAGGAGTGTTGGGAACAAAGTGTGATTTCACATCCAGGAACCATGCTCAAGACGCCTGTGTTTTGTGAGGAAGCTGCATGACAGCAGTCACCAGCACCATCTGAATCATGCAAAATGCCATTCCAGATGTTAAACATCTGCCTGATGCTTCCACCGCAAAGCAGCAGAATCATTATTCCCATGTTGCACCTATTAGTCATCGTTAATACATCACAATTCTCATTACTGCACTGTCAGAGGTCTTCACAGAGGTGGAAGGTGGTGACAAATCTGAAAAGCCTCCAAGGTAAATAGAGCACTCAAGGGATGGGAGAAGGGAAGGATTGTGCACTCAAGGGATGGGAGAAGGGAAGGATTGTGCACTCAAGGGATGGGAGAAGGGAAGGATTCTCATCCTCCTTCTGCAGATTGAGAAATAAGGTGCAGAGAGAGCAAACTGCTTCTCCAAAGCCTACAAGGGCAGGAAATCACATCCAAATGCCCTGAGGTTCCAACTCAAACCTCCACATGAAGATCCCTCCTGCAGCAGGGAACATCAGCTAAACCTCCAGCACTAAAGCATATTCTGATCAAGCATGTTTGGGGTTTTTTGTTGTTTTTTTTGTGGGTTTTTTTCCTCCTTCCCACTCCACCAGCTTAGCAGGAGCTGTGTTGCACCAAAACAAAGATCTCCAGCCTGTCTCTGACAGCTGCCAATAACAGATGCTGAGGAAAGAGCATCTGAACAGGGCACCATGCAGCAATTCCTCCCTGCTGTATCCCTGCAGCTTCTGAGCATCTGCATCTCGCAGACATTCCAAGCCAGAGGGTCTATTTTAATGTTCAAAAATCCTGGATGGATTTGAGAATCTTTTACCAGAATTGATGATATCAGAGCAACAGGCAAAGAAAGAAACCAGCACACTGAGTCAGAGAAAGGGAGAGAGAGAAGTCACAAAGTTGAAAAACAACAACAACAAAAAAAACCCACCCCACAAAAAACAAAAACCCTTAAAAAAAGGAAAAACTTGGGAATGCTGTTAGGTACCTTATGATTTCCCTATTATTTTGCAATTAGTTCAGCAGCTTAGCAAATAAAAATAAGTTCCTCCATCTGTTTCCAACAGAGCTCTCACCCCACAGAGGGGTAGGGATGCTGGGGTCCCCATAAAGAAACCTGGGGTGCCCTGACCTAGTGCAGTACCTGGGATCTGGTTTAGGATTCGAGATGCTATTAGGATTATTTCTTGCATTGCCTACTTCCAGGCTGTGTGTTTGGGCATGTCTTTTCTATTAACTGGTTGGACTGGGTTATCCTTGCTGGGCATCTCACAGAAGTGAAATATAAGGTGCAAACTTGAATGGTTTGCTCTTGGAGTTAAAAAAAAAAATGCTGTCAAAGTCAGTGTGATACCTCAGGCACTGCAGGCTCCAGTACAAAGGTCCCATGACACGTCTCTCTTCCCCCAGAGATGCTGACACAGACACAAAATGAAATCCTGCTCTGACTTAGGACTCTGGTTTAGTGAATCCAACTCTTTTATCATGTTTTTTTGCTGGTATTTGCCAAGGAAAGAGGGAAAAAAAAAAAAAAAGTGAGCAAACTAGCAAGAATTAAGCCATCATTTTATTCCCATGAGGGTATTTCAATCTTCAAATAGCTATAGCAGACCGACACACAATGACATTTTCATGATCTGTCCAAGAGCAAAACCAACCCACATCCATTCCCCTTTCCAGAGTAGGTTTAGAGCAGGGAATTATTGATATGACAACTCAAGGGTTTGCACCGAGTCTGAACAAACAGCAAAATATCTCAGAGAAGAATTCAGAGTGTTGTAGACCTCAGTTTTATATTGGGAGATTAAAGAACAAAGAATCAAAATCAGCATACTGCAGATTTCTCGAGGAGAAAGGACTGTTAAGAGCTTTTCCCCTGATAACTCTTTACAGATTTGAATTGCCTTTTTGATCCTTTCATTGCAGAGTTTCTGTTACACTGGGAGTATTCAATAACACAAATACAGGCAGACTATATTTTATCTTCCAATACCAACGTGTAGAGCAGCTGAACTAATAGTAAAAACAGATTCCACATAAAAATCAGGAGCAAACAATACTTAATAGCTAGAGCAGACTTAAAAAAAATCACCCTCTCCATACTTTATGTAAACGTGGAGACAAAAGCCTACAACAAGCTGTCGTATCAACAAGGAAACCTCATCTTGGAAAGTTTTACTTATGCTCACATTGGAGTCATGCACTGAAGCTACCAGGCAGATCTGGTAAATCCTCTGAGGATTACAAAGCTGGTATCTGCAACCCACTTGAAAGCTGAATGCTCATCTGCCAAGCTCCCAACTCAGGAATCAACCATAAAATAGAGCCTTCAAACAATATTTCAGGAACTAAACAGTCCTTCTCCAAAGAGCAATACTACCTCTAGGAAATAAAACTGGGTTGACTGCACCCCATATTAGAGGAAGGAAAACAAAGGCCCAAGCCCCAGAGCCAATGGGACACGGATTGCTCAGTCTAAGGCTGAGGAATATGAAGCAAGGAGGGAGAAAACTACACACAAACCCACAGCTCAGCTCCTTCCAAATGAGGGAAAAATGCTGCTCAGGATTTCTACCCACAAAGCAAGAGAAGAGACCAAACCCACAAAGTGTTAACTCTCATGGCTCATGCAGAAGAGTCCTCCCCTTCTCAGC